GATGGGCCTTTGGAGTCGCAAATGTCGCCTCATGTCAAAGAGGGGTCGCACGTACCTGAGGCTGGATATTGACGTTGAGCGGGGCAATGTTGCCCTGGAGGCTCGCCGTCGCAGGCACGATAGGCCTCGAAAGGTGAAGGAACTTCTCGGATTCTACAGCCATGCTGGGCAGATGCCAGGGATGATGGCTAGAATGAGAGGGAACGGGGGGGGGGAGGTAGCGTCTGAGAGGGGGGGGGGTGATGTAGTCGTCTCCGTCGTCCCGTTCGCGACAAGTCGGGAGGTCGTTCAAAATCGAAAATTGTGGCAGCAGAGTGGGACTGGGTTGTGGGCGCTAAGATAGAGGCTGATAGCAACCGTGGCGAGCCGTGCCCCGCTGTGGCTGGTGCGCATGTGGGGTTTTTCTGGATGCTGCAAGGCTACGATATGGCTTATAACTTTTTTTCTTCAATTTCAGCCCAGTTTGATATTCGCCTTTCACCGTTTTTTGCCACGCCAGACTCTCACATTTTCCCCCTCATTATATTCTCACTGAACTGCATTCATGGGACCTCGCGGCAGAGGTAGAGGCAGAGGTGGTGGTGGTGGTGGTGGCTTCCGAGGCGGTAGAGGAGGAGGGCCTGGTCGAGGTCGTGGAGGTGGACGTGGAGGTGGACGTGGCGGGGCCTTCCGAGGCCGTGGTGGTGCTCGAGGCCGTGGAAGAGGCAGGGGCGCTCCTAGAGGTGGTACCGGCCCGCGGTTCGAAACGAGCCGTGTTGGCGAAGAGGCGTAAGTTATGGGACTTTCAAGGTGCAAGCGGCCATCTCACGACTAACTTGCCCAGGTCATCTGAAGAGGAATCTTCTGGTGAGGAGGAGGAGGAAGACTATGGGTCTGATGAAGGAGAAGGAGAAGATCTTGAGGGATCCGATTCTGAGGACGACGAGGAGCAGACACAGAAAGCAGCGAGGCCGTACATGGCTCTTTTGCAGGGTTTCACAGACGATTCCCGGGCGCAACGCCAAACGGCGCAAGCTCGACAGCGGCGCTGCGGCGGAAGAACCAGAGCGCGAGAGTGCGCCACTCGACGATGAAAGTGAGGACGACGATGCCGAAGAAAAGGAGCCCGAAGACCTGGATCTCGTCGAGGAAGCCGAGGAGGACCCGGCTGTTGCTCATGCCGAAGCGGAAGACGACATTGACGTCGACGACAACGACGAAGACGAGGAGGATGCCACCGACCCCTTTGACAATCACTTCACCAGCCCCGACGAGACTCTCACGGCGCAAAGGGTTCGTGCCGTCCAAGGAAACGAGTGGGCAACTTCCCGCCACGTGACGAAGCTTTCTCGTGCAGTCCTCATGTCTCCCAAAGTGGACGGAGCTGAGGAAGCCAAGCTCCCATCGCCAATCACGGGGCCCGACGGCCTGAAGCTGAAGATGAAGCTGAAGGAAGTGGTGTCCCGAAAGTTGCCGTCTTTCGATCCTGTGCAGCAATCATTGGCGCCCATGCTTTTCAACTACCAAGATATCTTGTTTGGAGACCGCAACGTCAGGAATTCTGACAGCCTCCGACAAATTACCTGCCTGCACGCCATCAACCATGTTCTCAAGTAAGGCAGCTGTCCTGACGTTCGTGGCATGTGTCTCGACACTAACTATCCACAGGACGCGAGACCGAGTGATCAAGAACACATACAAGCTCTCCAAGGAGGACAGCCCCGACCTGGAGTGCAGGGACCAGGGCTTCGTCCGGCCCAAAGTATTGTTCTTGCTGCCCACGAGGCAGTCATGTGCCAAGATGGTCAGCACGATCGAGGACCTCCTCGAGCCCGGGCAAAAGGAGAATCGCAAGCGGTTCGAAGATGCGTACGTCGACACGTCAGAAAAGTTCCGCGACAACAAGCCGGCGGACTTTTTGGAGCTGTTTGACGGCAACGACGACGACATGTTCCGGTTGGGCGTCAAGTTCACACGCAAGACGATCAAGTACTTTGCGCAATTCTACAACTCAGACATACTCATGGCGAGCCCGCTCGGTCTCCGCATGGCCATTGGCTCGGTCGAGGACAAGAAGGCGACAGACTACGACTTTCTCAGCTCGATCGAGATGGTCATTGTGGACCAGGCGGACGGGCTGCTGAACCAGAACTGGGAGCACGTCGAGTACATTTTTGAGCACCTCAACCTGCAGCCGAAGGACGCGCACGGGGTGCGACTTTAGCCGCGTGCCGGTCGTGGTACCTCGAAGGACTGGGCCAGGCACTTTCGGCAGACGATTGTGCTCCGCGCCGTTCCCTGACGCCCGAGCTGACGGAGCTTCCAGCGCACGCAGTGCCACAACTGGGCGGGCAAGGTGCGCTTCCAGCCGGCGGTGCGCGGGCCCTGCTGCAGCAGCTTGCCGGTGCACGCGCGGCAAGACGTTTCTCGCGGTTTCGAGGCGGCGTCGGCCGAGCGCGACCCCGGACGCCCCGCTTTCGCCTACTTTCACGTCGGCCATTTTGCCCCCGCTGCTGCCCCGCGGCAAGGACGTCGCCGGCACGCTCCTTTTCGTGCCGTCGTACCTCGACTTTGTGCGCGTGCGCAACTACTTTGCCACGGCCGACGCGCTCGAGAGCCTGTCGTTTGGCAACATTTCCGAGTACGCCGACGCGACCGACGCCGCGCGCGCGCGCTCGCACTTTCTCAGCGGGCGCCACAAGGTGCTGCTCTACACGGAGAGGGCGCACCACTTCCGCCGGTACCGGCTGCGCGGCGTCAGGCGCGTCGTCATGTACGGCCTGCCGGAGAACCCGCTCTTCTACCGCGAGATTGCCGGTGACTACCTGGCCAAGAGCGAGGAGGAGATGCGGCTCGAGGCGGGTCAGGGCACGGTGCGCGTCATGTTCTCGCGGTACGACGTCATGAAGCTTGAGCGGATCGTCGGCAGCCAGAGGGTCGGCAAAATGATCCAGGAGAGGGGGGACACGTTTGACTTTGTATGAGAAGTGTCAGGGAGGGGGAGAGGAGCAAGAAAAAGTGGTGGACGAATTCTTTGTTCTCTGTCTTCTCTGTCTTCTCTGTCGTGGTACATTGTGGAATTGTACAGAATGGATAGATATAATACCCTACAGACCATGCCCGTCCTTGCACAGTCCGCTTAAAAAAAAACACCCCAAAATTGTGTGTATAATCGTACAGCGCCGCATTTGATCAGGCGGCCCAGTTTCGACCCAGTTGAACATGGATCAATCCCGCCCTTATGTCTTCCCAGCGTCTTGACAGCGTCCCACGCTCCCGTGCTCAACCACCATGTGGTCTGTTGCTTGGCCCAGTCCCTGGCCCAGTCCTAGCTTATTGCCAGCCTATTGCTTCGCGTCCAGTGTCGTCGTCGCCTTCTCGCCGTCTTTCCTGATCTTCTTCTCCGTCTCCCTCTGTTGCTGACCCATGACCCACTTGAACTGGCTCACGAGCTTGTCGAGGGCCTTTTTGCCGCCCTCGCGATACCGCGTCACCTTGTCGACGTTCTTCTGGGTCACGTCGTTCATGGCCCAGCCCTCGTGCTGGCCGGGGGAGAGGCCTTGGCGGTCATGGTGAAGCGCAGGTCGCGAGGACCGTCGACGAGCTCGAGGATGGCCGAGGGGGCCTGGTCGTAGGCGTTGCGGGGCTCGGTGCGCAGGACGCGGTTTGTAGCCGCCGGGGCGCTCGGCGTAGCGTGTCTTGAGCTCGCCGAAGAGCTTGGGCAGGATCTCGTGGGGGGTCTGCGTCGTGTGAGGAGCGGTCAGGGCTGGCTTTCTCGCCACGGTGTGCGTGTTCTCAGGGGAAGAAAAAAAAAATTTTTAGACGTACGTAGAGGATGCCCTGGGCCTTGCGGCGCGTGGCCTCGTTGTCACGCTTGGCGAGGGTGATGTTTTTTCTCGTTTAGGCGCTGTGCTTCCTTGGCCTTGTTGTCGGGGGGGCTGGATGTGTTTCGTGCTTGACGAGGGACGTGACGAGGCCGCGTAGGAGGGTCTGTCGGGCCGGTCGAATGACGGTTGATATTTCTGTACTTGACGGCCCCGCCTGCCTTGTGGAGAGTTTTGCGCGTAGCCGGCCCTTCCCGCCCCC